TTCCTTCTCTCCCCCCACCCGTTGCCTATTTATTTTGACAGTGGACCTTTAATAACTCCATTCATCTGAAGAAGTGGCTTGTGCCCACGAAAGCTCATGATACCATCGACATGTCTGGTTAGTCTTTAAGGTGCTGCAAGACCATTTGTTGCTTTTTAAGTTTTTTAATTTACTGTGTTTGTCAACAGGACCTTAGTTTAAAATTTGCTTAAAAATATTTCATGATTGTGTTGCTGAAGATTTTAAAAGAGAACTTAGAGATTATCACATCTCTAAAAAATGATCATCCCTTGGAGCTGCCACTGGGAATAGGGGCACCAGTTTAATAGTATTGCATGGGGCCCCATAAATCCTAAAGACATCCCTGACTGGACAGAAAAAATGCTATGGAATCTCTTTTTGGTCACATTATTGACTCCTACATACGTGTCAAACATGAGGTAGACTTGGACATAGGTCCAGGAGTTTCTCTGTAGCCTCATAATGGTGTGTTCAGCCCCAAAACTCGGTAGGTGTTAGGTTTCTAGTTTGCTAAGAGCTCGTAACTAAGGCATGCCCTCTGTGATTGCTACATGAAAGGCCTCTGCTGGCATAAAGTACCATGGTGTTAGTAGCTGCTGGCTTGCACGGAGCATGCAAGATGTGCATTAGGACATCTACTGTAGAGCTACGTCTAGACTGGCATGATTTTCCGCAAATGCTTTTAACGGAAAAGTTTTTCCGTTGAAAGCATTTGTGGAAAAGAGCGTCTAGATTGGCACGGACGCTTTTGCGCAAAAGCACTTTTTGCAGAAAAGTGTCCGTGCCCATCTAGACGCGGTTTTGCACAAGAAAGCCCCGATCACCATTTTCGCCATCGGGGCTTTTTTGCGCAAAACACTTTTTAGCTGTCTACATTGGCCCTCTTGTGCAAATACATTTGCGCAAGAGGGCTTTTTCCCCAAACGGGAGTAGCATAGTATTTGCGCAAGAACACTGACTATCTTACATTAGATCGTCAGTGTTCTTGCGCAAATTCAAGCGGCCAGTGTAGACAGCTCCCCTGGTCGCACTGCTCTGGCTTTTTAAAGCCTGCTTGCCTAGGTCAGGCCTGCCCCCTTCTGAGTCACACAGGGGAAGGCTGAGCCTGAGGCTAATCAGAGGCAATCAAGGGAACAATGGCAGGCTCTCAGTCCCAACTGCCACAGAAGCTGAAACTGAAACTGCTAGCACTCACCTGGAATCAGACTCTCAATTCACACCACTTCAAACTGTAAAATTCAAACAGTCAGGCACAGGCACACACTCACACCACAGCTTGTACTCTCACCGGGTAGCCTCTTCGGCGGTGGGGTCGCTTTGCTCTCCCTCTTCAACTCCCCTGTCTGCAGTCCCCTGTCCGCTTACATGAGATCGTCAGTGTTCTTGCGCAAATTAAAAGTCAGTGCTCTTGCGCAAATTCAAGTGGCCAGTGTAGACAGCTGGCAAGTTTTTGCTCAAAAGCAGCTGCTTTTACGAAAAAACTTGCCAGTCTAGACACAGCCTGTCTGTTTGACCAAGAACTCCTCCTAAAGAGTAAGAGCTAGGACCACCATGTGGTATACAGCCACCTCTTATAACTCAGCATTGGTGCAATACACAGGGAAACTGAGGCACACAGTATTCATGCAAAACAGTAAGATTCACATAGGCTCCTGTACAACATAGGAAAGGAAAATCCCCATTTGTTCACACAAGCCTTCAATCAAATCTAATCACAAGGCATGTTTTTGTACCACCAATTCCTATTTTTGACAATACTAACACAGGGGAGCCAGATGAGTGCCAGCTGTGTGTGTGTTGGTGTTTGGCTAAGAGATGGAGCCTTGAGTTGAGCTGTCCCCGGCTCTGTCAGCATCATGCGCATTGCAACTCTTCCCCCATCAATGCCACCGAAGCGCATTTTTGCTGATGATGGCAAATCAATTTGAAGCACTCCTTCCATTAGAGTAATCATACCATTAAAAAAATGAAGCGGGTATCGTGTTCTGAACATTAACTGGTAACACAATACTCTCAGGAGAAGACCGCAATTTAGCTGTGGGAGGGCAGCAAGTTGGTTTGACATGCCTGCATTAAGGTATAATTTAGAAAACCCTTCGTTTTTAAACATTTTTTTCTGAGATATATTTGCATAATTGCTCTAGGTTTGTCATGTTTGGCGCTACCATGTTCCTGGGAGAAAGGGCGCTGAAGGATCCCTGCCTCGACCCATTTCCAGTGACGGCATTATCAAAGTTTCCCCTAACCTGAGACCCTGGAGCTTAGAACGGGGCAGGGTGGACAGTGAGCCCTAGTCTACACTAGGGAGTTATTTTGAAATAACTCCCCTTATTTCGAAATAACAAGCAGAGCATCCACACTACTAAGCCCGTTATTTTGAAATAACTCCTGCTTTCCTTGGGGAATAAGCTTATTTCAAAATAGTTATTTTGGAAGTTATTTCAAATTTAGTTATTTCAGAATAATTTCCTAGTGTAGACATGGCCTGAGTGACAGAAGGGGAGACCAAGAAAACTATGATTCAGTAGATTTTTACAAATCAGCCGACATTTCCTCCCCCTTCCTATTGCTCACTTGCCCATGGAATTACATGTGCTCCCATGCCACTGGTCAGAGCCTTAGATTTCAAACAAAAGATTCTAGCAACACAGCCCCATTTCCCCCGATGCTCTGGGGCGTTCACTGGCTTTGTGCAGCAGTAGCGTGACTGGCCTGCACCACTTCCTGAAAAGGGGCTGTTTGCCAGGTTTGGACTGTGCCAGACTTGTGGAAACAGAGACTCACCAGCTCTGCCTGGCCTCTTCTGCTGCAAGAGTGACACTTTTCCATCAGGGCTGACTAGGGTTGCTGTCCAATCACACAAATCCAAACACCCCTGCCCTGCCCCTTCCTCTAGGCTCCGCCCCTTCCTCTAGGCTCCGCCCCACTCACGCTATTGCTCGCTCTCCCCCACCCTCATTGGGCTGTGGCAGGAGGTTGGGGTGTAGGAGGGGGTGCAGGCTCTGGGAGGGACTTTGGGTGCGGGAGCTCAGGGCTGGGACAGGGAATTGGGGTGCAGGCGCTGGGAAGGAGTTTGGATGAGGAAGAAGAACGTTCAGGGATGGGGCAGAGGGTCAGGGTGCAGGCACTGGGAGGGAGTTTGGATGAGGAAGCATGTTCTGGGCTGGAACAGGGCTTGGGGTGCAGGAAAGGATTGGTGGTGTGGGCTCCAGCCAGGTGGTGCTAACCTCCGGCAACTCCCAGTGAGTGGCACAGTGGAGTTAAGATACGTTCCCTACCTGCCTTGGCCCCACACTGCTCCTGAAAGCATTCAGCTCGTCCCTGTGGCCCCTGGGGGGTATGGAT